TACTGTCAAAAATACTGTACACTATATGTCTATATAGTACTAAGTACTTATTTAATTATGGACTTAGCAAAAAAATCACAGGTATTATTATTTAACTGTGTCATTATTCATTAACCATTTAGATTATACAATTTATGTTACTAAATAATGTGTACCTAACCAATGAACAAAATTAATGTACAATTTTGATTTTATGGTTTTTTTATTATCTAGATTACATTCAGTATATTACAACAGTATATCCTAGTTTTATGTATTATTTATGTTTTCTAGTTTTATGTTAGATTATTTATCTTGAAATATTAACATATGACTGTAATTTAATTTTAATTTAATATTTATGATTATTTTTAAGTATTAATATTTATTGTCAATACATTTAAAGATTAAAAATGCTTATGACTACCTATGATATAAATGTAGAAAAATATTGGTAATGTAATTTAATGTTTAGACTTAGACACTTATAGTACTGACCATTTAGAATATAAATATACGTATGTCACTAACAAATATATTATGTCTAATAAACAAACTTTATGTGCAATAGAATTGTTTTTTCTTTTTTTAATGTCTTTATTAACTTTTATAACTTTTCTACACCTATAGGCTATAGTTAAAATATCTTAGTTGTTTTTTTAATCAAGAAAACAAAAAATAAACTATTAATTAATATCTTGGAAAATATATTAATTTTACAAGTAGCTATGATATTATTTTATAAATTTTAGTATGTTATAATTTGTGAAAAGGTCGAATGTCTTTGTTAAGATTTGGATATTGTAGAAAAGATAATTAATATTTTTATTCATGTTCTGAATGATGATTAAAGACATTATTGTAATAATTGAAATATTGGTGAAAGGTAAATCCTATTTTTTACTTCCATTGTTTAGTTGTTTGTTTGTAAAGAGTGTGATGCCAGTTTTAAGTATAGCTATACTCTGTCAAGGCATAGAAAAAATAAGCATCAAATTGCAGTTAAGCCACCTATTTCTGTACCCGAATGTATTGAATCTTTTGAAAAACAAGACTGTTGTTTGAATGTCAAAAAAAAGAACTTGAATCGACATTTAAAAGCAGTTCATGGATTTACAGAAACTCAGATTTCTAATATGAGTCTTAATCTAAAATCAAATATTTTATTACACCCCAAGGTAAATGTGGTGGTATTCATTTTAATAAGAAAAATAGTAAAATTAAAAATAATTTAAATTTTAGCCTTCAGCAAACTTAAAACCTTCTGAACCTAAAAAAGCAATGGTATATACAAGCAGTAATATTGCATTAATGGTAATATAAAACATCAATAATATTATTATAAAAATAAATATTGTTATAGGTAGTATACATACATGCAGTAACCATAGGCGCACATAGGGGGGTGCTTGGGGGTGCTTAGCACCCCCAAGCTTCAAACTAGCACCCTCAGTTTATTTCAGTATTTCACCAATCATTTATAAACTATCGTGGTTTATTGGTTCGGAATTTTTCTTTTCAATACAAATATTGACAACTGTTTACAAATTCACGAATTCATTTTTTTTTTTTTGTCCGTCATCATCTTTTAGGACAGTAAAAGTGCTTGGATTTTCTTCAACAGTATCTTTTCTGATAGGAAAGTGAATCTAGTTGGTACTTTGGGGGGGTCAAATTGTTATAAGCATTTAAACTCCAAATATTGACAAAATACGTGAAAATGACGAAAATTTGCAAATTATTTCGAGTTAGAAATTCATAAAAAATTTTCTTTTTAAATCTAAGATATGAAAATGTATTGCAAGATTCCTCATAAGTTTGTCTGCCTTTATCAAAAAAAAAAATGTCTACAAGAATCTCAAATTAAATTTTTATGAACGTTTGAAATTCATATTTTTACAACATTTGATATTCACTCGATTTCTCATGTAACGATTTTCTAATTTTGTTGTAATTAAAAAACGAATGACTGTAGATACTTGAACATTTTACTAAATTTTTATATTAGCATTTCCTATACACCATATAGTTTTGAAAATATTTTGATTCTTTTTGAGCTATTTACGGACATTTTCAGTTTTCAATATTTTAATTTTTTATTCTATTCATATCAATAAAATTTTATTTTTATGGTAAAAAAGCTTGAAAATTTAATGCAAAGCTACTGATATATTGTTACAATAACACTTGAAAATTATTAAAAATACATAGGCACAATTTTTTTTAATAATTATTTAAAATTCAAATTTTGACAAAATTTATCACATTAAAAATTTAATAATAATTTTATAGTTAAAAATTTATAAAATGTTCAACTTTTATAGCTAATGATTGAAAATTTAAAACAAGATTCTACGTAAATAGGTTATATATAAATTGCTTTATTCACCTTAGTATCATCAAATATACTTAGTAATATCATAGGCTGACTAACCGTCTTCGCTCAGAATCGTTTTTCTTATACAATGATGTTAGTATATCATTGAATTCAAATTTAATACCATCGATTATACAGTGACCCACTTGTACCCTACTGTACAGCAGAGCACCTTTTTTTGTTTATCAAACTTAAATAACTTTTATTTTGGTTTTGATATAGTTTTTGATATAGTTTTGATATAGTTACAGAGTAAATTTTCTCATTTTTATAGTGTGAACATTTAGTTTCTTAGCTTAGAGTAGAGCCTGAATGTTTTTTATACCCGTGCAAAACAATTTTGCCTATGTTGTAATACGAAGACAACACATGTGGGTGTACCTAGCGTCTTCTTTACAATCATACAGACTATTTGATACATTGCACTTTAGAAATTATTGTATACACTATACAAATTAAATCTAATGCAATGCAGAAATATTAGGATTAGGGGGTGTGGGGGGCAAAGCCCCCCACGGATCTGTGAACCATAAATTATCCCAGCACCCCCTTAATTCACACCCAATGTGCGCCTATGGCAGTAACTACATCAAATGTATATCCATATAACATTTTCTGTAGCTCAACTAGTCAACTAAATATCTGTAAAATAGCTATATTTTTACAATAGGAACAAATACCTGATGGTTATAATTATAATATACTAACCAAGAAAAATTTAAGTGATGGGAAATTTATAGCTAAGTTTGAAATTTTGAATTTTGATGTCTCTGATGTTACCAATTGGATGTTAGAAATGAGACGCAAATGTAAAACAACATACCTTAGCACAAATTGTAAAAAGCCAGATTCAGTTGTTTTTAAGGCAAGTTCTCATTAACATTATTACATTAGTATTATTTGAATATTTTTATTTAATTAAAATGTATTTACAGAAAAGGTACCGATGTCATCATAATACCAGACCTAAAAAAAATTCAGTTCCTAGAGCAAAACATTTGTCTTGTGTAGCAACACTTATAATTCAAATAGAACACACTTTTGATGAAATGTAAGTAAATTTATTATTATATGTTATAGCCTGGGCGTTTAAACATAAAATTAGCTTCACTCAAAATATTACCTATACGGCCATACCTAATGTATATTTTTCTTAAATCCTAAAAATTAATCAAAGAAACCTGATAACTAAAACACTGTTTGTAGAGTTGTTTTATAGATACAAATATAAAATGTATAACAAATTAGGTATTAATGATTTTCAAAAATTATTTACAATAACATTTAAAATTATTAACGCCTAGTGCCCATTACATATTGTCCCACTTTATTTGTTTTTGTATTAGTGCTCCATATGATAAACCCACATCAAAGGCTGTTGTTGTAATGAGACATATTCATAACCATAAGCTGATGTGTGCAGATGTTTTAAAGTACAGAATTCCATCTGATGAAGTTAAAGAGCAAATATTGAAGTTATTTGAAGAAGGGAAATCACCATCAAAAGCTCTTCTCACATTAAAAAAACAGCTATATATTGACAAAGGTAGCAATTATTATGTTTGTGCAGGAGATCGAGGAGAACTCCCAGATCCTGAGTGGGTTTATTACCAATATTATAAGACATTCAAAAAACACTTTGGATCCTCTCATGGAGATGCTATGATGATATCTTTAAAAGATGCTGTAGATGAATACAACAGAGACTGTAATCATGAATGTTCATCAATGGAAATTCTTGATGATGGAAATTTTATTATAGCAATACTTACCCCATTGATGAGAAGGATAAGTGAAGGTTTTGATGAGAGTGGAGAAGTATTATTCATTGATTCATCAGGCAATGTGGATCGTTATGGATGTAAAGTATTTTTCATTTATACTAACAGTTGTGCAGGTGGTATGCTTATTGGTAGTTTGATTGTTACTAGTGAAGCTACATCAATCATTGTAAAAGGATTGGAACTGTGGAAAAAAATGTTATCTCCGGAGTCTTTAGGTAAAAGAGGTCAAATAGGTCCTAGAATATTTATGACAGATGACTCACTAGCTGAAAGAAACGCATTAAGTGAAGTATTTCCTCAGACAACACTTTTACTTTGTATTTTTCACGTATTACAAGCCGCTTGGAGATATCTTTGGGATTCTAACCATGGAATTCCCTTAAAACACAGACCTTCCCTATTTAGTGGGATAAAAAATATGATATACTCAAAGGATACTGATGAACTAAATAATTCTTTTAACTTGATAAATCAAAACCCAATAACAAATGATTATCCTAGGTTTAAAGTATATGTTGAAGGGTTATTCAAAAGAAGACAGGAATGGGCTATTTGTTTAAGAAACAACTTGGTTACAAGAGGTCAAAATACGAACAATATAAGTGAAGCTGGAGTTAAGATAATGAAAGATGTTGTGCTTGAAAGAACAAAAGCATATTCTCCAGTGCAATTATTTTTTTTTATTATCAATGATTTAGATAAATTTTATGAGATGAAAATTTTGGACGTTGCTGCTAATCGACCACCTCAGTATCAAAAAAAAAATATTTTATATCAGCTAAACAAAAAAGTCCTTAGAGTATAAAGCATTAGATTTGGGAAAATCACTTTTTGTTGTAAAAAATAAGATAAAAAATACAATGTACAATGTTGATACTGATACTGGTTTGTGTTCATGTCCACAAGGTGACACAGGAAAACCTTGCAAGCATCAAATTTATGTTGCCAAAGATCTCAATATTGATATACCTCTATGTTTACCATCTAATGAACATACTAGAATAAAACTACATACTATTGCTACAGGATGCAGTGATATTAAAAAAGATTGGTATACTCCATTTCTTAACACCGAAAATAATGAAAATACTGAACTATGTGTTGAACCAAAAATCCAAAATAATATAATAGTAGAACCCAGTCATTCTTTAAACATAAGTGAAAATCAAAATTCACCTATTCAAATTTCACCTACTTACAATGAAGTATTGGAAAAGTTTGATTCCACAGTGGATAAAATTAAAAGAGCTTTTGAATCGGATAGAGAATATTTTTTACCAGGTATTAACGCTTTTGTAAATTCATTTGATAAAAATGTAAATACTCATGCAGCTTTGTTATCTGCAATGATGACATTTGGAAAATACTCTGGCATAAATCCTAAGAGTATAAAGCCTAAACTTATTGGGAATAAACATATTGGAACTCAACCAACAGCTCGAGGAAGACGTGTTACACAAATTGGAGGTAGACATAATTTAACTTCTGGCCGAGTTCCTAAATGGAAAAGAGTCAATGAACATGGATATCACCTAAAATTGACTTCAAGCCAGTTACCAAGAGGTAATATAAAATCTTTTGATCCTTCAGTTGTTCCCAAAAAAGTTTCAAAAATGCCTCATCAGTTGTCTTATTGTGTGGATAAAAATAAACCATTAGGATCAACTCATAATGCAAAGTAAATAAAAGTATAGTATTATTAAATTTATTTTCAATATATATATCTTAAAATACATAAAGAATAGTCAGTAAACATGTTTTAATGTTTTATACTTAATATTAATTGTTTATTCAATTTAGAGAATCTGATGTGAGATTCTATGATTTCAATCATGATTTTGCTATTGTGATATTTATATTTTATATAAACAATTTAACCAATGTAGTATTGTTTTTGTTAAAGTAATATTTATGATACCCTTAACGACCTAGCCAAATCCTATTATTCAAAATTCCACTCAACGCTCCGCGCTCATTCAAACCCCATCATTAAAAGCTTATCATCTACCTCTATCATTCCTAGAAGGTTAAAAAGGCAATGGCCAAGAGATCTCCTCAACACATAACTAAAAAAAAAAAAAAAAAAAAAAAAAAAAAAAAAAAAAAACATTAATTAAATAAACTTATACCCTAATTTCTGGTCAGGTGGCACTGCTGGGGGCCTTCCTTCTCTTGTTACTTTTTTTTTACATATTACTTATTACTCTGTCACCACACTTACTTATTATACACTTATGTATAGATTGTAAATATACTTTATTTTAATAAAAAAAAAAAAAAAAAAAAAATATTTATGATGTGATAATTTACTAAATAACTGACATTTGTAGAATATGTTTATTGTTTAATGTAAGATGTAACCAGTGGCGTAAACTGGGTGGTGCAAATGCAGCACTTGCACCACCACATCTAAAATGTGGTGGTGCAAAGGTATGTTTTTGCACCACCAGAAAATCATTGAAATATATAATATATAAAGAGGTACAAAATAGTTATTTTAGTGCATGTATTAGACATTATCATTTAAATTATTACCCTATCTGGCCTATCTATATTCTAAAATATCGTTAGATTATTATCTATGGTAACCACTATCCACAGAATTTTGTATTTTATTATGGCAGTATCACAGAATCACGATTAAAGATATTATATCTTTAATCGTGCACAGAATAGACGTATAATTGTTCTGTGGTATAATATGGTAAAATTATATTGCTATCAACATTCTACCGCCAAAATAGTGTGTTATCACTGGATCAATGTTCATTCAATTCTCAAAAGTCAAATGTCAGATGATAGCTAGACGTCGTATTGAATCAAATTTTAAAATTCTCTTCAGGTTTCATAAGCGCCAGGAAAAACAACATAAAAATTAAGGAAAAACAGGAATTTTTACCCGAAATCGGTTTTCGACAAAATCGATTTTGGTTTTTGACCAAACAAATGAACATTTACATATATAATTGAAATATTCACTGGTTGGGTAAAAAAGCTTGGAAATTTAATAAAAGGCTCCAACTATATTGTTACAATGACATTAGAAAATTATTAAAAATCCTTAGTCACAGTTTTTTTTATAAGCATTTAAAGTTCAAATCTTGACAAAATACAGAAAAATCACGAAAATTAACAATATAATTTGAGTTGAAAAAATCATAAAAATGTTTCTTTTCAAATCTAAGATTTTAAAATGTAATACAAGATTATTCATAAGTTTGTATACGCCTTTATCAAAAAAAAAAAATGTCCACAAGTAAATCAAATTAAATTTTTATGAGCATTTGAAAATCATATTTTTACAAGATTGGATATTCACTAGATTTCTCATGTAGCGATTTTGTTAATTTGTTGTTATTCAAACAAATAACTGTAAATACATGAAAATTTATATATTTATATTTTAATTTTCTATACACCACAAAGTTTTGAAAATATTTTAACTCTCTTTGAGCTGTTTCCGGACATTGTCATTTTTTAATTTTTTTAGTTTTATTTTCTATAAATATCAATAAAATTTTATTTGTTGGGTAAAAAGCGTGAAAATTTAATGGAAGGCTCCTGATATATTGTTACAATAGCGTTGAAAAATATTAAAAATACATAGCCACAATTTTTTTTTATAAGCATTTGAAATTCAAATGTTGACAAAATGTATGGATAAATATATAGTTTTTTTTTGTTAGGAAGGATTTTACTTAGAAAGTTGGATTATTTTTGTGTTGGAAATTATAGGTTAATAATATGCCTCTGCACCACCAGAAATTGGACCCAATTTACGCCACTGGATGTAACCCTGTAGTATTTAACATAATATGTTTATAATGTAACACTATTGTATTGTACGATGGCTTTACTTACTTTAATAAAATTATGTTTCCATGCAATGTCAGTCTGCCTCATGATTGGGCCCCTGACCCAATATTATTATTTAAAAAAATAGGTGATTAAGTGGGTGTCGCTCTGTTGTGCAGTAAGTTACAAGTAAGTCAGTGTTAAATTTAAATTCAATGATATAATATCATTATATAAGAAAAACGATTCTGAGCAAAGACGGTCAATTAGCCTACCTATAATATTACTAAGTATATTTGATGATATTATTTTGAATAAAGTAATTTATAAATTATAACCTTTTTACGTGTAACCTTGTTTTAAATTTTCAATCCTCTGCTATAAAAGATGAACATATTATACATTTTTAACTACAAAATAATTTTAAATTTGAACATGCTTATAAAAAAAATTGTGCCTATGTATTTTTAATATTTTTCAACTGCTATAGTAACAATAATCAATATACCAGGAGCCTTGTAAACTTGTATTCACGGTTTCTTACCCAACAAATAAAATGTTGTTGAAATTTATAGAAAAAAAAACTAAACAAATTGGAAATTGAAAATGTCCGTAAGCAGTTCAAAAGAAATCAGAATATTTTGAAAATTTTATCGTCTATTGAAAATAATAAAATGGTTTAAGTTGAAAATTATAAGTTAAAAGAATATGTTGATACTTTAAAACTAGTTCATAAAATTGTCATTTAGAAATAATATGTAGAATGTAGAAATTATGTTTAGTCAAAGTTTTTTTTTTTTTATTTAACAAATACTTATTCTCTAAAAAAAATATACAATTTGACAGTTCATTAATGATACATGATAATATACATAAATTTTAGTCTTATCACAATATCGCAGTCTAATCTCGCAAAGGTATGAAATGTGATTTGGCTTAAATAATGATAACGGCATATCGAGGAGCCACCGTGACACGATTTAAAATTACGCATACAGGACTGGACACGACCAGGTTGGAGGGTGTGGGGGGTTGACTACGAAATGTAGTACAACAGGCGGTGTTCGGGGGGATACTTTCCTTTTAGCATTACTAGCGCCGTCTTAGTGGATACTTATAGAACTAGAACACATCATACAAATTTCTAGTTCCATAAATATCCACTAAGACAGCGCTAGTAATGCTAAAAGGAAAATATACCCCCTAACTCCGCCTGTTGTAATACATTTCGTAACCGCAATATTCATCTCGTGTCCAGTCCTGTATATCTTAGTCCGTGGTTGTTATAGTGATAACATCGGTTTATGAGAATATCGTGATAACAATATTAACAGTGTGACAAAGTAGTATTAGCAGCTTAGAATAACAGTGAGGCCAGCAGCATAAAATATAAAAAATAAAATTAGCAATAGCAGATACTTTTAATATTGATTAGCCACCTACTATTGCTAATAGAAAATAGCAGTGCTATCTACACTGCTGCTGCTATTTCTTACCACCACTAGTGTAGGCGACGCAGGGTAGGAAAAACTGCGCTACCTAAGTGAGCGCATATTACTATGCAGTTCTGACGTTTCACCGCCTAATATCAGTCACGAGCATGAGCGTGACCGATAGTGTGATGGCCGAAAATTTAATAAATTTAAGTTCTGAATCAGATTCCGATGACGAATTTGATGAACTTATTTTGTTATATTCGTTAACTAAACAAAAAAAAACGTGGAAAAGTAATTTTATGAAAAAAAGACAAAGTCACGGTGAATTCAATTTGTCGTCGGAATTTTCTGACAAACAATTTTTGAACTACTTTCGCCTGGACCGAAATCAATTTAATGAAGTTCTTCATTTAATACGAGATACTATTTATTCATTTGGGTGTAATGCTTAAAAGCCGATTGATCCTGAAGAAAAACTGGCAGTATTTTTAAGGTAAGTTTATTATAATTTATTTGAAGTTTTAACAATAAAATAATAATAAATAATAATTACATTATTACTATACAATAAGGCCTAAGCATTGCAATTTTGTAAATTTTATTTTAACAACAAAGTAAAGAACCCCAAATAAAAACACGATCCTTTAGTTAATGATTTTATGTTATATTAATACGGTAAATCATATTTATTAATCTTCTGAAGTAAATTAAAAAAATTATTCTGTATAAGTCAATACTTAATATTATAATATAAGATACCTAGAAATAATAACTTGATAAAAAAAATTATTCTGTATGAGTATTTATATAATGAACAATATCATCTTGGTTCTCAACATTTTCAGAAACTGAACTGTCGCGAGAAGTACCTGCACATGAACTTTCGCCGTATGACCACGTAGAAAAAGACTGAGGTCGACTGTAGATATTTTGTTGTATCTGTTGTGAATGAAGTTCTTGAAAAGCATTATTTTGTTGAGAATTCAAAAGATCAGACTCTACTTGCGAAACAACTTCAAATAATTTATTTTTTATAGTAAGTTGAGACGCTGGTGGCATTTTATAAGTCGTTTGGTACATGGACATAAAGAAATGGTAAAGCGGATCATTTGGAGTTTTGAGGTCTACCAATTTTTGGCGTTCAATAGATCTTTCTTTGGCTCGTTGTTCGCGATTCGCTATAGACTGTTGAATTAAGGTGCCTATATCATTTTTTTTTCATTTTTTTCTGTGGTTCTTTGAAAGTAAATTTCCTTCCAGCTGACGAAGGAGTATCTTTTAATTTTTCAAAAGAATCTTCTCGTTCCTTGTTGCTGCGCACTTCATTATCTTCTTCCAGTTCATAATTATTCTCCAAGATTGGTGTCTGCGGTGTCTCTAAAATTTGACTAACTTCAGTGTCTGCATTGTCGGATTGTTCATCATCACTGTCAACTATATTGCCACTTCGCTTTCTGTTCTCCATGTATGGCAACAAAAACTCCATTTGTTTCTTTAATTTCCACTGTCTAACTGTCTCAGCTCTAGCTCCACCTTTAAACATTTTTTTTTGCCTTCGTAAAGCATCTCTGTGGCAGTTCCTCAGTTTGGTCCACATGGTTTTCACTGTTTCACCTGTAAAAACAAATAAATACAAAGTAGCGTTTAAACTTCCGAGTTTTGTTTGAACTTGAATTTTCTTTACACGATATAATTTTAAAAATATTTAGCAACTTTTTAAACTTTTTATAGTCATTTGAAATATTCGATTTTCTTACTTTTAGATTCTGAGCGGAGCTACTGACCGACCGTTTTCACTCAGAATCGTTTTTTTATACAATGATTATATTATATCATTGGATTCAAATTTAACACTTGATAATGTATTGTTGTACTTGTATTGAACGTAGTTAACCGAAATTGCAAATTTCACATCTCTTTGATTAATAGTAGTAAAATGTAAAAATAATTTTATTTAAAAAACTGTTTTCCCTGTTTGTTACAGGTATTTAGCTTCAGGAGATAGTTACAAAAGTATAACATATAGTTATAGAATGGGGGATCGAATTGTCTCAAAGATAATAAATGAAGTGGCCACTGCTGTATGAAACAACATGCAACCAATATATTTACCAGAACCCACAAGGGAAATGTGGAAATTGATCGCGAATGATTTTGAAAAGATATGACAATTTCCACACTGCATTGGCGCTCTAGATGGCAAACACATTGTGATTAAAAAACCACCCAAAAGCGGAACTTCATTTTAAAATTATAAACAAACATTTTCCGTGGTTTTAATGGAAATAGTTGACGCTCACTACAAATTTATTAGTATTGATATAGGTTATATGGGAAGATTCAGTGATGCAAATATATTTTCGAGTGGTGCGTTAGCAAAAAAACTTAATAAACAAACTTTAAGACTTCCACAACCAGCAGCTTTAACCGATTATGACCAAATATTACCCTATGCTTTTGTAGCAGATGAAGCGTTTCCACTAAGTGAAAATATTATGCGACCTTATCCAAATAGAAGTGTAACAAACAATTTTCAAAATAAAGTTTTTAATTATAGACTTTCTCGAGCACGGCAAACTGTTGAATGCACTTTTGGAATCTTGGCATCACGATTCCGAGTGTTTAGAAGACCTTTTGAAACTAAAATTGAAAGTGTTGATAATGTTGTAAAAGCAGCTTGTGTATTACACAATTTCTTAAGAAATGAAACAATAATTTTAAATAATTTGCAAGGCGATAGTAGTGAAAATGAATTGCCGGATAATCAATTACTGCCATTAACCAACAACAACACTAGAAGTGGATCAAATGCTTTTTGTGTAAGACAAAAGTACACAGATTATTTTAACACAGTGGGAAGCGTACCATGGCAATCAGATAGTGTTTCTAGGGGTAAATACTAACTACTTTTATTTGTAAAAAAGTTGATATAATATACACTTTATAAAAACTATTTTATTTATTTGTCATTTTTTTTTATTATTATAATATTCTACTAGGTATACGAATCAATTTTCCACAATATTATAAACTTTACATTTCTATGAGTAGGTAAGAAAAGAGAGTTCTGGAACCTCAACCTGCTGGCTCATCCCTATACCCGTCTGCTCAACCCACTACACCGTCTGCTCAACCCATGGTTGCTCTCTGCTATCACGCACGTATACGATATGCCACCGCCACCCTCGCTACTCCCCGCCCAGCCATAGATAGCCCGCCACCGCCACCGCCACCCCCCCTACTGTATAATTTAATTATTTTACGAATATTTATTTTTATGTATAGTTTGTAAATATATTTCCCTGCATGCGAATAGTATATCTCATCTAGAAAAGGTACCTAACTATACAGTCTTCCGTTATACGTTTGAGCCCGATTTCATAGTTTTTTTTTAACAGATGGTTTGAACACTATACCATACGGATATTAGTACACCCGATATATAGGACAATCCGACGACCCTGTATTTTGTCACGTGACGGGGATCAGTGGCGGCGGCGGTAGGGATTTTTGAATGAATGAATAGTCACTATTCATTACTGTCCGCAGTTGGTGATATAGTGCTCTATTATATTAACCTACATCCGGGCTACATCTCGTTCGATCTGCGCTAATACTACGCACGTAATTATTATATAACGTATTAATTTTTTCTTATCCGTTTATTTTAAAATGTTTAAATGCGAGCAATGTTCTTTGGGATTCGTATACGAGTCAAATCTGATCGCTCACCGAAAAACACATTCGAAATTGTTCAAATGCAGCAAATGTGCTTCGGAATTTACAGCGAAACGTAATCTGACAAGACACGAAACAACGCAGGAGGGTATTCGTATACCGTGTATTAGGTTCAGCATTACGTTCAGTTACAAGACCAGCCTCAATAAACATTTTAAAAATGCTCATGGTATGTACCTATTTTCTATATTCACTTTAAATATTTATTTTATTTTAATTTTGTCATCAGGTATAGTACAGATCGCGCCACACGTTTTTGTACCAGACTTGCAACCTGGTACATCGCCCGTTCATAAAGATCGCGTATCAACTACACGAGATAAACAAAATGTTCGCTTATCACCCATGCAAGATAACACGGCGGATGCATTGACGAGTAACGCGAATGAATGCTGGGAGGTTCTCGACACCGCCGATCTTCTCGGGCAAAATGATCGCTTATCACCCATGCGAGATAACACGAAGGATGAATTTTGGAGTAATGTGAATGATGATTTATGCTTGGAAGTTTTGGACACCGTTGAGAATCTTGGACTTTATGATTTTCAAGGTTAGCTATTTCTTTTTATAAACGCGTCATAGGTTAATTTTTTTTTTTTTTTCTAAAGATTCATACACTACACTCGATAATGGTAAACGTGTTTCCAGCGCCAACACTAAATCCGCTGTTAGGGCAAAAAAAATACGTCTGAATCTCGTAAAGTCTCGAGGGTTTACAAAAATATCTACATCATCAAACAATACTATCACCTGGTACTACGTAAAAAACACCAATAATATTCAAAACTATATTTACTTCCTCGATTCGATCAAATCTGAACTAGTTAATTTACTAAAATCAATTGCAAGTAAAAATCCAATCAAGTTTAATTTAAAGCTTGAAGCGACATATAATATACCAAATGTTGAATATTCGTCGGAAAACCGTGCTTTTAAAACTTCGGCTAAGGCGGTTTTCTGTGATACTGGAGTACAGGAAATTGTTGAAGAGGCATTTACTAAATTAATGAAAGAGCAAGACGAGTATGCAAGCAAGGGTAGTGGTTTCACATTACAATGTATTGACGATTTAATGTTAGGCGTATATAAATATACACCTTTGGGCGGATCATCATACATGCCACTACCAGACCCAATAGAAAATAAAAAAGCTGTGATTAACCCTCAAAACTTAGATATGCAATGCTTCAAGTGGGCAATTCTAGCGAAACATGTTACAGGAGAAAATAAATACCGTGTTGGTGATAATTATACATCGCTCGAGGATAAATATAATTTTTCTGGTTTAACATTCCCAACACCACTACATAAAGTTAAAATTTTTGAAAAAAATAATCCAAACGTGTCTGTCAATGTTTATGGTATCGACAAGAAATTTCAACCACCAAAATTCACAGAATATAAAGTTTTTCCTCTTAAAGTAGTAGATGAAGAAAAACCGGACCATTTTGATCTACTTATAACATCAGACGAGGATAACAGTCATTATAGCTACATATCTAATTTTTCACGACTCATCAGGTCACAAAAAACTAGACATAATGGACAATCAATATTTTGCAAACGGTGCTTCACATCATTCGACCAACAACAGTACAAATATAAATTAAACGGTGAGGCAGGGCTAGAGCAACATAAATTAATATGTGGAGAACATAAACCTATACTAGCTCAGATGCCTGAACCTGGTACAATGCTCGAGTTTACTGCATGGAATAAAACGCAACGTCATCCTATAGTAATTTATGCAGATTTCGAAGCAATTCTCAAGAAAACTGATGAGAAAATTGGAGAAAAAACAGCAGCTTTTCAACAACACGAGCCCATGAGCTATGGACTTGTGGTTAAAGCAAATGAAGACATACCAGTAGAACTGCTTGAAAAATTTGAAATTCCAACATCTCCTGTAATTTACCGTGGAAATGAAAATAATAAGGACGTAGCTGGACATTTTGTGGATAGTATTGTGGAAATAGCCAAAAAAATTGAAGAGTTACTCAAAACAAACATTCCTATAATTTTCACAGACGAACAACGGAGAACACATGCATTATGTAATAATTCTAATTTATGTAAGGTCAAGTTTTCCCTAGAAAATCATAAAGTGGCAGATCACTGCCATTTATCAGGGAAATTTAGACAGTCAGTATGTAATACGTGTAATCTTAAACTCCAAACACCTAGCTTTGTACCGGTATTTTTTCATAATTTAACGAATTATGATTCACATTTTATTGTCACTCGTCTTGGTTATGACGCACATTCAATTTCGGTGATACCAAACAGTGAGGAAAAGTTTATAACGTTTTCAAAATATATTAGCAACACTTTCACAATAAGATTTATAGACACATTAAGATTTATGCCCGCAAGCTTATCAAAACTTTCAAAAAATTTAATTACACCCGGATTTGAAAAGTTTAGAGAGACAGAAAAATATTTTTCATCTCAAGATTTACCACTTGTTACCCGTAAGGGAGTCTACCCTTATGAGTATACAGATAGTTGGGACAAGTTGGAAGAAACTGTTTTGCCTCAGAAAGAAGATTTTTACAGTTCACTGTACGAATCACATATAAAAGATAAACATTATGATCATGCGAAGACGGTTTGGAATCATTTCAACTGTAAAACACTAGGGGAATACTCCGATCTTTATTTAAAAATTGATGTACTACTGTTGGCTGATGTGTTTGAAAATTTCCGAGACCTCTGTTTAAGCACATACCATCTGGACCCATCATTTTACTATACGGCACCTGGATTCTCATTTGACTGTATGTTGAAATACACTTCAATGAAGCTGGAATTGTTGACAGATTATGATATGTTGTTAATGTTTGAAAAAGGTAAAGTTAT